TTTGCCTAAGCTTGCCTAAGCAAGCACTTTAGACCACTGAGCTATCTTGCCAGCCCAATTTTTCTTTCTCTTTAGGATCTTGCTAAGTGATCTAGGCTGGTCTTGAACTCACTGTGTGGTTCAGGCAGGCCTTCAGCTGGTGTGGGGATCCCCCGGCCTCCCAATGGTGGGGTACCCGTGTGGCCTCCACTCCAGGCCACCAGCTCTCTCTTACACGTCCTGCTGCTGAGCTGAGGTCGGCATGATGAGAATCACGCTGCAGTTCACAATCCGATACAAGCCACGAGAGGCGGCAAAGGCAAAGGTACAAACGCAGAATGGTTTTTCCATGTGAAATTGAACACTTACCGTCTTAGTTAGTTTTCTGTCATTGCTGGGACAAAACACCCGTCACCCAGAGTGAAGCAAGGAAAGTTTTATTAGCTCACAGTTAGTGGAGGTTTCAGTCTGCGCCCGGCTGGCTCCCAGGCAGAGTGGCATGTGGCAGAGGGCAGCAGTTCACGGCAGCTGCAGAGAGCAGAGAGCAGGGGAGGGCAGCCGCTGTCGCAGCTAGCCAGCCTCTCTCCCCTCGCATTGCAATGCCAAGTGCCCCCTAGGGCACCTGTAGTGCCAGCATTGTGTCAGGAGTCAATCACAGGATGGGGACATGGCTCAGTAGAATAAGCGCTTGTCTGGCAAGCGCAAGCGCTTGAGCACAATCCTTGGTACTGGAAAAAAAAAAAAAAAAATCAGCCACAAACTCCAGAAGCCACCTCATGACTGTATGAGGCTTTGGGGGACAGCTAGACACAACTAGTAACACTCACCATCAATTTTGAATTTTCAAAGTTTTTAAAAACTAGTAGCTCTCAGAAGCGAAGGCACGAAATAATTCCACCTCAGCAGGCCTGGCCCTCACACTGCTTGGTTCTCAGCTGGCCCGACTCCAGGCACGCTCCTCTGCCAAGAGACCCGCAGGACACCACAGCCTTTCCGCTCCCTTCCCCTCCCTTTGTTCTACTCACACTCCGCGTTTGTTCCAAGTCCGAGGTGGCTGACCCGGCCACTGGGGCGCCGCAAGCCCGGTCCCGGTGCCCGATGACCCAGGCCCTCGCCCCCTTGCTTGTTGGCCCTTTGACCCCTTATGACAGAGTGACCTTGCGGGCACTGAGACATGGCCCCAAGTGTGAAAGGGGGCTATTCAGATGAGCGTCACTCTTTGCCTTGAAGTTACTTAGGAACTGCAGAATGTCACCCTGTCCTCGCTAGATGGTCAGTGCTGCTTCAGGGGCTCTCATCGTGTCAGGAGCTTGCCGATCATAAGTTCCTAATCTAAGCACAAAGCAGGAGGCTCTTAAAGAACCTGATGCCCTCAGCTGCAGGCTGAGCCAGGGTGCCCGGGTGCAGGGCTCTAGAGCTGGGTGGCCAGGTAACACACACACAGCCACGCAGCTTCCCGTGTGGTCCCGAGCTCAGTGTACTCAGCTGAAAACACAGTGCTACCCATCCTTTAAGAATAAAAATCCTGTGGATTGAGGCCTAAGTAGAAAGGATTATTTCCAGCTGAAGGCAAAGGAGAATCAAGCGAAGAAACACTCTCTCCATCCTCTTTTCTCCTTTCTCTGCCAGAAGCAGGTCGCGGATCTCCCCCTGTGAAGATGCACAGCCCACCCTGGCCTTGCCCCGGCAGCCCTCCTGGGCAACCTGTGCTCTGAGGTCTTACTTCTTTCTTGGGAAGGCTTCCTGCAAGCAGAATGAAAACATGGGCAGGATTTGTATGGCTTCTCTTCATCGGTGAATCTGCCTTCCATCAGCTTTGCTCCCAGGCCTCTGCCACAGTCCTTGGGAAGGCGGAGGATTTTTCTTACCCTGAATGACAAGGTCTGTGGAGGCACCTGAAGCTGAGGTCAGGCCCTGCTGCGCCCTGCCTGTGTGACAGCTGCAGGCTGGCCAGTGCCTACTGTGGAAAATGAATTTTCTGGAGGAGACTCATCAGGCAGAAAGTCAAAGTATGGCTTCCAAGAAATGGGAGTGTGGGCTCAGGGGAGGGTGGCGATAGCGACAGTCCAGGTGGCTCTCCTGGTGGTGGGAGCCTGGAATTCGTCAATCTACAGTGTCAGCCTGGTTTGGGGGGAAAGGATAACCTACTCCCAGGAGGGTAGGGTCCCGTGCAGGGTAGTCGCTCACAGGGAAGGAGACTGCAGGCACAGAAGGACTGGGCCAGGCCGCTCTGCAGGTGAAGGGCTGCTTGGGCCGCTGTGTCCTCGGAGGAGGGAGCAGAAGTTTGCACTGGGCTGGGCCCAGAGCTCTGGGTCTTTAGACTACAGGGTCCCTGTCTCCTTCCTGTCTGTTCCCACCACTTCCTCCTGGGTCAGCGTGGCCCACACCTCCGTTATATAAGCCTCCCTTGCCTGCCCCAGGACCTGCTGCCTGCAGTATTGACCAGCAGTCGTCGCTTCCTGCACATACATGACCTGTCCGTCCTTGTCTCCAGCCCATCCTTTCCTGTCCCAAGAGCCCCAAGCTGCTGCTGTTGGGGGCACTGTCCCTTGGGGAGCAGAGATGCTTCTTGGTATCCTTACTCTGCCAGTGAGTGGGCCACACGGAGATTAGGGGGACAGCTCCACTCACGCTGGCACCGAAACAGGTGACACATTTGGTGCTGCCGAATGGAACCAGGGCAGCAGACCTTGTCCCCAGGAGACACTGTCCTTGCTGAGTTCACCCATGCGTGGCCTTCATGGCAGAGTCCCAACCCGATCACGTTCCCAGGGGAGTCTGGGGGACTCGTGCGGTGGCCTGCAGAGTGGCCGAGGTGCAGCCCGTCTTTCTGCTCCGTCCCTCCACGTCTGATTCCTGGGGACAAATCCTTTGCTCAGAAATCCTCCCTGTGGTCTCTCTCTAGTCGGAAGCGTGGCGTCCGCCCAGCCAGTGACGAGCATCACAGCCCACTGCCGCTGCGGCTTCTCCCTCGGCTCCCTCCGAGTTTGACGGAACACTGAAAGTGGAAAGGGCACCGGCGCAATAAAAACTGTCGGAGCTCCGTGCTCCTGGGCCTTCCCTCTGTCACTGCTCCAGAGGAGCACGGGGCCTCTGTGCTCACTGCTGTCTGCTGGCGGAGCCACTGCCCTCAGGGAGACCACGTGGCCAGAGGGTCTCTTACGGTTTCCATTGAATTTTCTCTTGTTCACACTGGTAGACTTCCAGCTGCAGTCCAGCACGTTGGACTGGGAGAAGCAGCACGTTGTCTGTAAAAATGGACACTTGTGTTTAGGTGAAGAGTGGCTTCACCCCACAGCTCCCAGTCCACTCTGTGTGGTCGCAGGTCCCAGCACAGCCACAGTCGAAGTGACCGTCAGCTGGCTTGGGTTTGTCAGGGCTGGAATCCACGTGGTGCTGTATGAGGTCCTTGCAACACTTGGGAGGCTGAGGCAGGAGGATCCCCCTCACCCAAGTTTAAGGCCAGTCTGGATGACACAGCGGAACAAAATGAAACAAGGCAAAGCACAACAAGACAAGTGCTTTGGTCCCACCAGGGCGCACGAGCCCAGCTGCTGAAGCAGCCCTGCCTCGCAGGATGGCTCACTGGTCACTCCTCCAAGCAGCCACGATCGCTCACTGAAAACTTAAAAAGTGGGTGGAAGCCACATAAGTAAAAAAGAAAACAAAAAGCCAAAATTAAAAAACC